GAGTGTATAAGACAAACAAAAGTGGGCTCTTCTCTCGCCTTTGTGGGGTTCAGATGTCTGTATCTTATTTTAAAAATCTAATCGTCATGATTTCTCTAGAGCAGGAGTCTTGTTATTCACACAGAGATGCACTTATAGCTGTGTAGACCTGATCAAAGTCCCCTGACTTCAGCTGAAGTCAGTGGACTTTCTGGATTAAGCCCTATCTGAAGAAGATTGCATAGCATCAGCCCACATTTTGCCTAACTTTAGCAAGAGATGCACGAGAGCAATAAATTTTCATTTTAGGAGGTCACCAAAGCAAGAGCAGGAAAGAGTGAAAAATAAACTAAATACAATTTAAAAAAAGTTATTCATATTACAAACTTCCTCCATATAGGCTGATAAGTACAGTACAGTAATGTCCAAATCTCCAGCCAGTATAGAAACATAGTTCTGTAAACCTGTATGTGTCTTATTCTGGGATAATTAATAGGCTAGGAAATTACTGTTGAAGAAAGCAGAATAATTTAATACTTAATTAGTTGCCTATAATCAAAAGTATTCCATTTCTAATTTCAATGCAGTGAGGATTTAGACGTGAGGCTATGCTGTTCTGACTTACCCCCATGATCTTGGTATGGCATCTGGCACAGGTTGGTGCAAAGAACTGTTCATAACAGCGCTCACAGTACACACTGTTCTGCTCCTCCACAAAGCACACATCTGCTAAAGATGTCTTGCAGTAAGCACAGTTGAACTCCTCTGGGTGCCAGGAACGACCCATGGCTACCAGGAAAGGACCCCTGTGAAACATCATTATTATATTTATATTGCAGAAGCATCTAATGGCACTGATGAACAATACTAATGAGGATGTATTTTAAAATAAGACACTATAACCTGCTGACAAGAAGTCTCTTTTCAAGATATTTTAAAGGAAAATTTCAGGAATTAGTTAATATATTAACCGATAAAAATGATTATAACTGAATTTTCAAAACATCTGTTGGAAATACTGCCATGGTTTCCAAATCTCAATAACTGTAAAAGTGTTTGTGAGAACTCCCATGTTGCTGATACTTCCCATCAGCAACCGTAAATTGCTTGTGTAGAGTAGGGCACTGAAAATGCTTTCTTTAAAAAATGAACAAAAAACCCACAAATCACCAAAAGTACTTAAGTGTTTAATATAAAACAAGGGGTGGAGGAATCAAATGGGAAGTTTCCTCATTCTAATGAGTATGACACAGAGTAGAGAATTACCATTTGAAAACATGAAAAAGCAGGAGACTTTCCAGAGTTGGTGAAAGGTGTAATTCACGTATACCTTACAATAGCTTTGAAAGTCTCATGTTTTCATGTGCATTTGAATGAAAGTTGCATTCACTATGTTACATCAGATTGTCAAAATGGCAACTTGCTGTTTGATTATCCTTTAGTTATACTACAGCCACATTAAAACATGTTGGTGATTTACTGTTAATTGTAATTAGATGTAGTGATTAGACTATTGTTTGTATTACCGTTGTATTCCTATATGGGAAGATAGGAGAATGATAATCAGTAGCCCCATACCACTAAACCAGTTCCTTTTTAGTGGATGACACTGTCATTAAAAATGCACGGATTACTTGAAATCAGGCAGCAATCAACAGGGTAACAATGGGCACCAGTCCAGCAGAGTGAACTGGGGGAGGAGAAAAGAGAAGCATGCAGTGAATCACTGGTAATACAGTGTGTGCATTATCTTTCTCCAGACACAAAAGCAGCAATTACATTTGTCTCCAAACTGATATCTCACTCCCTCGACCCAATATAGTTTTACATAGTGTCTTTCCAGTTTTATTTCCGGAGATACCTTGGGGACCAGAAATTTGTAAGAAAAAGGCAGTGCTTGTGGTAGGAAAGGTGCCCAAAACAATGACCTTGTATAACTTTGCAGTGATAAAAAGTGAACCACACGATGGCAAAGATGAGCTCTGGAAATGTTAAATGAATCAAGCAAACAGCAGACATCCCCTCTGGATTATTTAACTGTGTCTCATGCTCTGAGATTGTATAATAAAATGCAATGATCAGTTGTTCTGTGATACTTTCTCTCCTATCCCCATCCCTCTCCGAAGAGTCTCATGACCTTACCGAATGATGCTGTTACAGTGTCCACAGAGAGGAGTTCGGTTGCTGGCTGGGAAACGCTCAGCCCTTTGAATTGTTCCCCGGGCTACAGCAGGAGTCTGGGAAGAGGCTGGTATTGAAGGAGACGAGTAGGCTGAAGTTGAGGCAGGAGATGGTGCTGGAGCACCCCGTGGCAGGGTATGTTTGGTAACAGAGGTGGTGGTTTTTCCAGGTGCAAATTTCTGGGAAAAGGAGTCATCTGTTACCCAAGGAGGGCGGCATGAAGGATCAGCCTTGCCTGGTGCATAAGAATGCACTGGTGCTTGTGCCGGTGCTGGCGCTGTTATAAACATCCAAAAGAAAATCAAAGAATGCTTTTAAGATCTTTTCTTTTTAGATTGCAAACAACAACATTTAGCAAAATGTACTGCATACATAAACAGAACACTTAGATGACTCTAACTGTAGTTTGTCCCATTAGCACAGATCAGAGCTGAAGTGAGTTCCAGGATATCACTACAATCCTTGATTTATATCCAAATAAATCACAGAAACCATTATCTACTGGTTTTCACTGAATTTATTAAGCTCACTTACAAGGATATTGCAGTGTTAGTTTTTATTTAGTGCATGTATATGGTTGTACTCACTGTCTTCTCACCTGTAGTAACCTAGGTTCAGAAATACAGTGGCAAGCTAGATTCAAATGGCCAGATCAAGCAAGCCATCCACTTTTAGGCAGAACTCACCATGATTTTAATAGTTTCTGCTTAAGTATTGGTGTCATGAGATTGCCGAAGATGTGGATTTTTCCACAGATTCTCACTCTTATTTGTAATTTGTAGAAATTTTATACCTGGGTTAGTGATAGCCTCACTTACGGAACACAGAGGCTGAAAGAGAACAATAAAAACAATGCTGGGGAAACAAATACAGATTGTTTAATTTACAAAAAGTGAAACTGAATGCAGGTTAAATTGAACAAGTGGAACTTTATTAAACCTTGTGCACTGCTCTGTCCATGTGGCTGAGTTGCTTCCAGCCTATCTCCAACTGTTCTCTGTTCACCTAGGGTCAACCACAATAAAAGCCCCTCCAGGGAACACAGGCACTCTGACTCCACTTCCATTTATCATGATACTCAGATCACACAGCCAGCAAGGCAAAATCAACAGCAACAAGAGGAAGAATGTCCCTATGATTAAGGTATTGGACCAGGACTCAGGATCTCAATTCAGTTCCTGACTCTGTCATGGATTTCCTGTGTGACCATGCGTAAATCATAATCTGTGTCTCAGGTCTGGTCTGTAAAATGGGGAAAATGATACTTCCTTTCTCCCATCCTTTGTTTTGTCTATTTAGATTGTAAATTCTTCAAGGTATGGACTGACTGTTATATCTGTTTGTATAGTGCCTAGCACAATGGGGCACTAATCTTGGGTGGGACCTTAATACAAATAATCATCAGAATCTACAGTCTGTACTCACTGGAAAGCCCTCCCATTATCTTGTTCTCTTTTTAAAACTATAGACCTAAGGCTCAGAAATCTAGGTACAACTGAAGATTTCACCCGAGAAACTGCTACATCTCCCAATCATAGTGTAGAAAGGTCAAATATATTCTTTACTTTGGAAAGGAAAAAAGGAAGCAAAAAAAATCTATTGATGTATTCTGGGACAGCCTGAAGGAAAATAAAACAAGAGAGTAGGAAAACAAGGAAAGCCAGCGATCAAGAACAGGAATACAGTGCAGACCTCCAGAGCCTTGATAAAAAATACCCTCTTTCAAGCCTTTTTTAAATAATATTTATTTTAAGTGGATTAAATTAGTAACATTTTAATTTATTGTTACCACTGAAGAAATTACAGACTGCACTATGGCTGCTTTGAGATGTTTACATAGATGCGTATTTGTGTTGATACTTGTGGAACTACATGTTGTACAGAATTGTGTAAAGGATGTTTTGAATGAGTTGTAGAAGGTAATTATTAATTATCTTATGGCTTGAGGCTAACTAATGAGGGAAAATTATTAACTGTGAGTAAAATGATCCATGTTAGCACCCTGATAACATATCCTGATAACTTTTTCCAAATAGTCCTATTTTGGACTGAACATTCTTATGCTTGATGTCCCCAAAGGCGAATTTTTCTTTTGGGTTGATGGGAGCAAAATTCCTCATCTGTTTGAGATCAGCAACTGTGAAACAGATCACTTCCTGTTTTGTAAGGATTCCAGACATATTATTTGGCTGCTGCAGAAAAAATGGATGAAGTTTGAAACACAGCATAGGAGCCTCTTTGAGGAACAGTGCCTTTGCTTGCTTTTATTTTTTTAAAAAGTTTTACTTTATCATAGTTTTAACTGTATGAGCATGTTCATATAAAAAAAAAGTCTACAGGTGCACGCAGAGGGTCCAGTCCTTCCTCCCAATAAAGTAAGTAAAAAAGTTCATGATGGCTTTAATAGGACGAGGATTTAATAGGACCAGGATAGGCCCTGAAGGGGAGACATAGTATGCATCTGTGAATTAGTTAGGTACACTGTGACGAGGTCTACCAATCCTGCACTGGGCCAACAAGGACGGACCAATCACTGTGGGCCCAGGAAGCAACGCCCCCTTTTCCCTGCTGCGCATGCTCCAGGTGGAAGAGCCAGATAAAAGGAGGCAGCCCAGCTCAGTTGGGGTTGGCTGAGGAGAAGGAAGGATGCGTACTACAGAGGTGCCTGCGATGCTCCAGGTGGTAGAGCCCAAGGACATGGACTACGCTGCAGGTGACTCATGGACTGCAGAGACAAGCCACCACCAGATGAGGAGGTGCCCAGGATGCAACTTGTGGTAGGAAGTCACCCAGGGGATGTAGTAGAAGCTGATGCCTGAACCCTTAGTATGGAAGTCCCCAGCTTCATAGGGCCTTGGGTTGGAATGTGGTGAAGCGGGAGGGGCTGGGTTCCCTTACCATAGTAGGTGTGGCTGCTGTTTGCTGTCTGGCCCAGTCTGGGGGCTCAGGGACTATAGCCAGTCTGTAGCCCCTGGATGGGGCAGAACCATCCAGGGGCTACAGACTGATTGCTGTTCTGCTCTGCCCAAGGGGCTGATTCCCCAAATGCTACTGTCTGCCCCAGCCAGGAGACTTAGGGGCTATAGACTGTTTTTTTGGTCTGGTCTGCCCTGCCCAGAGGGCCAGAGCTCCAGTTGTAACTGCCTGCCCCAGGAGGCTCAGAGGCTATAGGCTAAGTGTTTGCCCTTCCCACCTGGGGGCTATAGACTAATTGCTGTTCTATCACACCCAGATGGCCAGAACTGCAATTGCTACTGCCTTCCCCCAACCAGGAGGCTTGTGGGCCATAGACTATTTGCACTGGGGAGTTGGAGCCGGTTCCCACCGGTTCACAGGAACCGGTTGTTAAATTTAGAAGCCCTTTTAGAACCGGTTGTCCCGGTTCTAAAAGGGCTTTTAAATTTAACAAAAGCTCCAGCTGCTCCCTGCCCTGCCTCCAGCACCAGCTCACCTGGCTCCGGTCTCCACCTCTGCCTCCTC